TGTTTCTTGATGGCTAGGCATTGTGCCCTGTTCTCTAAACATAATAATGAATAAGATATTTATTGCTATTGAGCTATCATCTTCATTCATTTATTCAGTAAATGTTACTGAGTCCTATATACCAGAATTTATATTAGTTCCAGTTAAATAACACTTTTAGTGCCTACCTTTTTAATTGTTTAATTTATTATTATTCAACTTCTATTTTAGATTCGGGGGCACATGTGCAGGTTTGCTACATGGGTATATTGTGATGCTCAGGTTTGGGTTATGGATCGCATCACCAGGTAGTGAGCATAGCAGCCAATAGGCAGTTTTTCAACTTGCCCCTCTCTCTCCCTTCCCCATCTAGTAGTCTGCAGTGTCTGTTGTTCTCATCTTTATGTCCATGTGTACCCAATGTTTAGCTCCCACTTATAGGTGAGAACATGTGTTATTTGGTTTTCTGTTCCTGCATTAATTCCCTTCGGATAATGACCTCTACTATTTACAATAGCAAAGACATGGAATCAACTTAGGTGCACATCAACAGAGGATTGGATAAAGAAACTATGCTACATATACACCATAGAATACTATATGGCCATAAAAAGAACAAAATAATGTGCTTTGCAGCAACATGGATGCAGCTGGAGGCCATTATCCTAAGGGAAATAATGCATACCTTTTGAATACCTATTAATAGCCAATTACTGTGCGAGGCACAGAAGATACAATGGTGAAAAGACAATCCCTGACCTCAAGGCATTTATGATCTATATGCACAGGCAGACAAATAAAGAGGCAATTAAGTATAATACATGTTATGATAGTACAGATTGTTATGGGAGTACGTAGGAAGGTACCCAGGAAAAGTCAATCAAAGATAAGACCTAAATGACAGTAGATGTTATGAAGGAAAAAGGGGTAGGGGAGAACATTCCAGGCAAAAGGAATCGCATTTTAGAATTAACGTCTGAACCATAACATGCAGTGAAAAAACTTAGTCATTCACTTATTTCTTATTTATTCATTTACCAACTTTCATTGAAAAAAATAACACCAGATTATTTTTGGTTTATTATCACTTACATAAAATAGTCAGTACATTTTGACAAATGAATATATGAACGAGGTTATCACATGTTGTGTTGAATGCTTGTTCTGTAGCTTTTCACTGGTCTGTCACTTTTGAGAAGCAACATAGACAATCTCCATTCGTGTCTTTTCTTTTCTTGATAAAGTATTGACAAACAAGGGAGAAGTTGAATCCACAAATTGACACCATGGTTACATAGACTCTGTGGCTGACTCACAATACTGTGTTTAACTCAGGTCTTGTTATTCAGGATAATGAGAGTGTGAGCTATGCTCTAGAATTATGTTGTTTAATATGAAAGCCACTTACCATGACTATTTAAATTTATATTAAATAAAATTAAACAAATTAAAAACTCAATGTATCAGTCACAGTAGCCACATTTTAAGTGCTCTGTAACTTTATGCTATCATATTGGACAATGCAGAACTTTTTTTTTTTTGAGACGGAGTCTTGCTCTGTCGCCCAGGCTGGAGTGCAGTGGCATGATCTCGACTTACTGCAACCTCTGCCTCGGGTTCAAGTGATTCTCCTGCCTCGAGTAGCTGGGACTACAGGTGTGTGCCAGCATGCCCAGCTAATTTTTTGTATTTTTAGTAGAGATGGGGTTTCACCGTGTTAGCCAGAATGGTCTCAATCTCCTGACCTTGTGATCTGCCTGCCTTGGCCTCCCAAAGTGCTGGGATTACAAGAACATTTTTATCAGTGTAAAATGTTCTATTAGATATTCCTACTCTAGATCTAGATTATTATTTTTACTAAACTATTGATAAATATTTCAGGATAGTGTTGAAACATAATAGTTGCTCAATAAATAGTTATTAATATTTTTAAATTTAGCTTTATTCTCCTTTAATGGCAAAGTCTCACTCTTTAAAGTAGAAACCAACATTTACACAAATCCTCTAACATATTTTTTGTAGCAATCAAGGTAAAAATTTGATTAATGGGCTGACAATCGCCTTCCTGAATCTGTAATACCAGAAAATTTCCCAGATGTTAGTGTAGCATGGCTGCTTAGGCAAGACTGACAAAACAATCTCAAGGTGACAAATTTCCATGTCATGACCCCCTCATGTTGCGTTGCCCACTTTCGGTGGAGGCACTGATAAGTAGTATCACTGCCAAGAGTGCTTAAAGCAAAGGGGAGGAGATGCCAAGACTTTGCAGAATCTACTTTGAATAATGAAGAATTAAATATCATTCATCTTAAACTGATTTTCCAGACACACTGCCAAGAAGCAAACAAGTAACTCTATATTTTTGATACCAGAATCTAAAAGAGTTTCAAAGGGGGATGGCTGGCACCTGCATCTGAGTTTAACTCATTTTATGAGTAGTCCCTCCCCACCCATTAGGCTGTGTACAATTATTTTAAATGTGCTCACGATACTGGCTTATGTACTTATAGCTACACCAGCTCAACAATATCCAAATGATTATAAGGTAACAAAGTAGAGCAGAGTTAGAAGATCAATGATTGCTAAGCACCAGTCTGTTTGCTTATTGATTTACCTCATTCCAGAAATAATTTAAAAATAGTCAAGAGTGGCTGGGCATGGTGGCTCATGCCTGTAATCCCAGCACTTTGGGAGGCCAAGGCAGGAGAATCACGAGGTCAAAAGAGCAAGACCATACCACTAACACAGTGAAATCCCATCTCTACTAAAAATACAAAAAAATTACCTGGGGTTGGTGGCACGTGCCAGTCGTCCCAGCTATTCGGGAGGCTGAGGCAGGAGAATCACTTGATCCCGGGAGGCAAAGGCTGCAGTGAGCCCAGATTGCACTACTGCACTCCAGCCTGGGTGACACAGTGAGACACTGTCTCGAGGAAAAAAAAAAAAAAAAAAGTCAAGAGTAACCAGTGAAAGTACACCAAAATGCCTAATTTTTTGTGACACAGAAGACACATTTGATAAGGAGTGACATATTTGATAAGAACACAATCTAAACAACAAAAAATGAGTGGATGTATTTACCTCTGAAATTAGTAACATGTTTTATAAAATGAGAAAACCTAATTCTGGTGCAGATGAGATATATTGATAACCCTCACACACATGCTGTTGAGAGTATAAATTTAGTGCAACTGTTAGAATAATTGTTGTACCGAAGTCTTTAAAGTAGTTACGCACTTTGGCACATCGTTTTCACTCCTCAAAATATCATAAATGAATAATCTATGAAATCTGGCAACTCGTGTTGAAAAGATATTCTTTGAAGTGTTTACACCCAAATTTGGAACAACCTCAAATTGGGAAATGATTAAAAGCTAAATGTAGTGTCATTAAAATAGGTTAACATAGAGTGTTTAATAACATGAGAAAATGCTTTGTTGCTTAGATTAATTCTTTAGTATTTAGGAAAAAAGAATTACATAATTGCATATTGGCATAAGGTCAATGACGTAAAGAATATATAAGAAATATGTGAAATATTTTAACAATGGTTTCTTCTAAATGATAATGTTTAATTTTTTAAACTTCTACAAAGAACAAGTATTAATTTACAATTGGCAAAATTAGGTAATAATTCAGAATAATCCATAAAGCAAAGTGTTGATCAAATCACATTGCATATAATTTCACTAGACCTACTGAAAGTGTATGGATAAACAGAATTTAATGGGAGTAAATTTTGGTAGAGTAGAGGCAGCAGTTGTGGCTTATATCTCAAAAGTCATTAAGATATAGACAGATGCTTACAACGCCACAATCTAAAAGATAGGAAGCAGCAATGTCCTGGAACTTTATCCTCTCACTGATGCAGAGCAATTTTTGTGAGATATAACAGGGCATCATGTGTTGATTACAGAGTATTTTCATTATAATGTGTGCTGAAGAGACCATGGATTTTGAAACAAAAGTCTGCACCAACTACTAGTTATATGTAAAATGTTTATACATTAAAAACTAGTTCCACACACACCACCACCACCACCACCACCTACTTTGCATGGTTGTTAGGAGGATTAAAGGAGTTTATGTAGTTACCTGCCATGATGCCGGATACAAAATGCATTCAGTAAAAGTAGCTACAAGCTTGGTTTCTAAGAGAGTATAGAAATCATTGGTTGCAGAACAGGAAATATTTAGCAATCAGGAATCTACAGTGAAGTTCTAAGAATCACAACACAGTGATGCAGACATTGAGATGAGCAATATTCAGAAATCCATGCAGGCAGGCAACACGACAGAATTCAATCAATGAGTATCGTTAGCTAAAATAAGGATGTGAAGTGTCCAAGAGAGTTTTAAAAATAATAACTACTTTATAAAATTAAAAACTAAAATCCCAACAACCTTATAACCAGTAATAGGATTTCAGCTTTAAAAAATCTATTTTGCTCAATGATACAGGTGCTATCAGAAGTGGAAATTTCAGTGGTATTCCATGTTTACTACATACAATATAAGCTCTTTAGCCTAGGATTTATGGCATTATACAGTCTTGTTTAGTCTGCCTTTCAATCTTTACTTCTTATAATATCATGTACATACCCTATACTTCAAACAAAACGACTTGCTCCTTGCATATTCCTTCACTCCTTATAAATGCCTTCTGCTATTTATTGAGTCTGAAACCAAATGAATGAACAATTATAAAGATAAATTTATAGTATCAAATTATCCATCACTTATTTAGACCATTGGGGGAAAAAAGGCCTAGAAGTCTCTTTGAATCTCAGCTGATGTTGCTCAGATTGATTTTTAATGCCTTTTGTGTGTGTGTGTGTCTCTTCATTTGTTTCTTGAAATAAATATGTGAATTTCAAAACTGACATGACTATTTGGTTTGCAGCGGCTGCGGCAGCAGACATGGCTTATCACCACATCAGACCTCCCATTGGCTATTCCATTCCCAAGCCTGTATCATCTCTGCTGATACGAGGGTGGAACGCATGTCCTGAAGTGAGTAATTTTTATTTCCTCTTAGAAAATGTGTTATGGTCAAAATCTGTCGCAAATAGTATAACTCCAAAGTCTACTTTCAGTGTGTATTTTAAGACTGTCAAGGCGGGAAGACTGATTTGCCTTCTGCTCTTTAGTCTCTAATTGCCTCAAGAAGTCTGAGTATCTCATATTTCTTAGCTGCTGCTTTCTGATTTTGAAACGTTTCTCACAACTGATTAGTAAAAGAGAGACCAGGGTATGACAGATGACTCACAGTCTCATCTCAGCTGCAATTTTTATTAACTGTGCGTGAGCCACACTTAGTCATTTCCCAAAGCAAGAAATTTGGCACAGGATGGATTTGTGTTGGCTTTTAAACATGAGGCAGGCCTCAGAATAGGTGGTCTTCAGGAGCACTGTGGGAGGCAGAAGACCTGGGTCCTAATCCCTCTCTAACTTTCTGAGTGACAGTATTATGATGTGGTTAACAGCACAGACTTAGAATTCAAATGGAGTGATCAATGTTATGGAAAGGATATATAAACAGTAAAATAAATTTTTAAATATGGTCATAGGTCTAAAAGAATAGTGAGGGAATATTATCACAGAATGAAATTCCAGACAATCCGCCTGCAAGAAAGGATTCTTAAGTGTGCAGACAGGTTATGCCTGCTTTGTTCTCAGAGATTCACAGAGGAGATTGTACAACTTCTTTCCTAGTAACACAGTCCAGTCCAGTGCCTAGTAATCTTTCTGCCAGTATATTTTGTTGTCTATTAAAATCTCTGTGTTTTGATACCAATCCATTGATTCCATTGCTCAGAGTGGAGAATATTAGTTTGCATTCTTCACACTGGAAGACCTCATACATAAAGACCTAATGGTTCTCATTTTGCCATCCTAAGCCATTCTAGTTATTGTCCTCTTAAAATATAACTTTGTTTCTGATCCTTCCTAGGCCCTTTATCTCTCTTCAACAAGAGAATAGATAAAGTGAGGCTGTTATTATTTCAGGAAATCACTTAGGAGAAATAGGATAAGCCCCAGTCTAGATGTTTGAAAAGAGAAAGCAAGCTTTCCATTCTTTTCCTAAAGGCAAAATCCAGACCAAGTCATTACCCAGTCTCATTTTTTCTTAAGAAGAAAAAATGAAGATCGTTTTGGGACGGATTGAGTATCTCAGAAGATAACCTCTTATCCTGGCCATTCAACCTGATATGTTACATGTTTATTTGTTTAGAATCTTCCATCACTACCAAAATGTTAGCTCCATGAAAGCAGGGGCTTTTTGTTTTGTTTTATTTTGTTCACTGCTATAACACTAACATCTAAAGTTAGATGCTCAAGAATGTTTGTTGAGTAAATGAATGAATACCACTATTGCGTATCAGTGCCTTCAATCCCTGCATCTGAATTTCGATGTCCAGAAAATTTCTTCTTGAAAATTGCATCACATAAAATAGTTTAGGAAAACCTTTTCTTGTATTTCAGTATGAACTTCAGGCATATTTTCTCAGAAAAAGTATGTCAAGCACCTATTCTAGAATTTGCTTCTCTCTGTGGGATGTGAGCTATGACAAAGTTTACCATCAAATAACAATCAAGGGAATCCCTTTTGCTTTGATGAAGTGCCTCTTCATAATTATAGATAACAGGCGTGTGGAATTTCTAATTTCAAGATAAAGGTAAGTCATTGGCAGGTCCTAAAAGCATTTTTTGGATAGAATGGATGTCTTAAGGAAAAGGTTGGGAAATGAGAAACAGAAATTGGAACATGGCCAAAGAAGGATAATGCTAAAAAAAAAAAAAGAAGAACAAAAATCGATTGCTTAGTAGAAAAGTTGTGTTGCTATCAGCACAGAGTCTTTGTTCTGCTGATGAGATGCAGAGGGGAAGACGGAGAAAAAGCATATTAGGAAAGCAAAGTCTTCAACTGACTTGCGATATGTGGTTCTGCAAGTAAGTCCAGCCTGACTTGGCTCTGGCAACCACCTCAGTATTGTGAAGTTGAGCTGCTTCTGTATGTGACACACTTGAGGCTTCCTTAATTGCCAAGTAAGGTCTTTACCATGTCAGCAAGCTGAGTGGCAAAGAAAAGGAAACAATGGGCTATTTTTCATTATTTCCTTCAACAATTATTTGCTGGGTTCCTCCTGTATACCTCCTACGGATAGGGGCAAGGGATTCAATAGAGATGGAAACTCTTAACTTAAATGGAGTTTAAGACCTGGTAGTTATATGGAGATTGATTGAATAAACACATTAATGATTCTATAGTTACCTGCCAAGATTAAGAAAGACAAAATTCTGTGAGAATATATACTAAAAGAATACTACTAGCAAGTTGGGGGACAAAGACAGAATGTAGGTTAGTGAAGGCTTCCCAAAAAGAGTAACACCTGAGCTGAAATCATAAACAGGAGTTTTCTGAAAGAAGACAGCTTGGTGAGAAAGAACAGTCTAAGCAACCAGAACATGTGAAAATTCACTGGGAGAACAGATACAAGGGAAAGACTGGTAGTAGTTGCAACATTGTAGTCATGGAGAGGTTAAATCTCTGTATCAGGCATTATTTGAAACAAGTTCTTCTTTAGATGGAGGACACTAACCACTAACATCATGCTATCCTGGTCATTACTTTCTAGGTTATCAACTTTGCTTCTCATTTTTTCTTGTATATCTGTCTTTACCTCATTCCTTGAATTTGAAGCACAGTATTTTCTCCAAGGTGTCTTCTTAGTCAAAATTCATAAACTAGAACATTGAGGAGAGTAAGAAGACCAGTCTATTGAAGATGGGAGAAGGTTGGAAAACAGTAAGAGGTTAAAAAAAAAAAAAACCCTGATATTAGATAGTGACAGATTTTGGAAACGAGAACAGGAAATTTGGACATGGAATTTCGGCAATTATATTTTTATCTCTAAAGCAATGAAAAGATAAAAGTAATTTTTTAGAAAGTTCATCTGAGTTTGATACAAAGGATTTATTTACTTACTTAAAAAATTGTATGTAGCTCCTATAGTAAGGCAAGCGCCAAATTATCTTCTAATGCTCCCCGGAATAGCTGAGCATTGTTTCTTAATATGTGGCTGTGAACTGTGGGTTACAGATTACCTTAGAATGTTTGTTGAAATAAAGATTCCGGGGCCCTATCCTAGGTTTACTGAATGAAAATCTCTGACATAGAGCCTGAAACACCACATTTTAACAAGCACGCCAGGTGATTTGTGCCCAACAAAGATAGAGAACTGATGGGTTGAAACTCAAGCAAAAGACAGTGAAGTTGGAGCAGCCAGCTGGATTGCTGTTTGAGTAATCCAGTTGATTACAACACACAGACTACAATGGTTACCATGGAGATTCAAGGGCAAGGGTAAACCTGAGAACGATTTCAAAGAAAACATCATAAAGAGATAAAAGACTGGATTTCAGAAATGGAAGGGAGAAGAGACCAGGAGAACTAGCACTGCTGCCTCCTGAGAGTCAGCTAGTGACCAAGAGTACTCATTAGGCCTCTAGATATCAGGGATATTGTTGGCAGCGAGAGGAGAGAGAACAAAGCTAAAGGTGCTGCAGTAAGGTGACAGTGCTTTAAAGTAGGAAAAAAAGAAAAAGGAAAAGGAAAGATAGCTACCAAGAAAAAAAAAGTGACCTGGTCTACAAAGATGAAGAAGCCGTCAATTAGGGTGGAATAAACTTATCATGCAAGAAGTTGGCATAGATACTTCTCTCACTCACCTTAAAGGTGCTTTAAAAATAAAGTGGGATCAAGCAAGGCAGATAGGTGGCATAGGAGTGAAGCTCAAGCAGAGATAATGAACAGAAATACCGGAGGAATTAGGATTAAAAGCAATAAAGTCTTGAATATTGGTGAGAAAAGACAAAGAGAGGTAAGAAGTTTAGGAACTTTCAAAATAAGAAACTTAAGTCATTTCCTAGCAATTCTGAATAGAAAGGGAAACAAAAGAGGTGAGGTATGTGGGCTATATTTATATTGTTCTAATAATCTTTTAAGGTTTACAAAGCTTATTTATTATTATTATTATACCAAATGTAGATATAAAGATGTATAGACCTAGACAGGTATACAGATACGAGAAAAGGAAGTTTGTTTCCCTTTTAACCTTTTTGTTCCCCTACTAAAAAATGTAAAATATGATAATATTCTAAACCGTGAAGGTATGCTTTAAATATTTTTTACAGTGGTCTCAATAATTAAATTATTTGAATCCCTATATATATTTTTCAAATAAGCATGGCTTTGAATGAGACATGTTTGTTCTGCTACTATTTTTAAATGTAATATTTATATTCACATTTAATTCCAGTGTACAAGGAGGAGTTCTCACTCCAAACAATAGCGGCATGCGAAACCCAAGAGATCAAACCTTGAAAGCTATGTACTAATAGGTTATTTAGTTTTCAAAATCTTAAATTAATAACAATTGGCAATAAAGCTCATTAAAATTCCTTTTGTTCAGGATCCATTGTGTTGATCTTCAAGCCCTGTTCTTCTAAAATGATTGAAGCTGAGCTCTCCACCTAGTGGATTTATTGGATTTTGCAGATTTTTATGAAAACAGCCAACTATCCCTGGAAATCCTTAACTTTTTTCTCTTAGAGAAATAACAGGTTTTAAAGACTTCTACTTAAATCTAAGATAATTGTCAACAGGACAATTGCAAATGTATGAAATATGCCAATATGCATATCAGTTAGACTACAGTTAACAAAGCTGAATTTTTATTTTCATACTATAATTAGGAAAACAGATCAAACACAAATATGAATATATAATTATCCATGTAGAAAGCAATATTGTAATACCACTAATTGAGATGTGTATAATAATTTACATAAAATAAACATCAAATGTAAATCTGCTCAAATACTCTTCTTATGTAGTCTTTCCTTTTTTTGAGGCTTTTGTTTTTTTGCTTTTTCAATGTTTGCTTGCTTTTGCAAGACTTGGCCAAACTTTTCTTACTTGGTTTTTCATTCCTTAGAGAAGCATACTCAGTTAATTGTGTCAGACGTATCATATGACTCCATCTTTGATTTTTGTCATATATTCAACTCTGTGGTTTTATTTTATTGATAACAAAGAGCTACTGAGGACATCGTTATCCTCCAAAATGATGCATTTGTAATGCATGCAAAGGCTAAGGGGTGTTTGTGTGTCCTCTTGAAGAAAGCTAAAGTAGAAAATAATTACTATTTGAGTTATTTTCTTCACTTTATTCTGCTTCTAAAGGTGATGTAGTAGCATATTCAGCAGATGGTGGATACAGTGCAGGTTTTGGAGCAGAGTTTTCAGCTTCATTTATTCTGCTAGGAACTAAAAACACTTCATTTTCTGCCTCAAAACTGTCTTTTAACCCTGGTAAGAAGGAAAGTGCTTCATGTGTCTCCACTGTCATTGCGCCTTCTTTGTATGCACTATCTTTATCTGGTTGAATATTTTGAAATTCTCTAAAATTATGCATATTACTGTTAATTTCAGGATCTACTTCACTGCAAAGTATTCTATTTTGGGTTTCATGGGAACTTGTGATACTTAAATCTTTAGCTGTAATGGTCTCCTCGGCAGAGCTTGCATCATATAATACATGTTTTACACTTGTTCCATTTTCCCAAGTTTGCTGCCTTTCTTTTGTGGTGCCTTTTAAGGTCATTTGTGTGATCTGAATTAACATACTAGAATCTGTCTTGCTTTCATCAAGCATATTTTTCTCTTCTTTCCCTACTATTTTTATCTCTAGTGCTTCAGTGCCGTCATTTCTGGGCAATGCATTTGTGCTGTCAATTCCTTTTTCGCTACTATTGGTTAGGTGCCAAATGGCTTGACTACTAACAGGAGAAGTACTGATATCCTTGGGAAGTTCTATTCTATTTTGGTATGGAATTGAATTTGTCTTCATAAATGATAGGTTGTTCTTGGATCGTGTTTGAGGAATGAGAGAGGAATCACAAGTTTCTGTTTTTGAAAGTTTTTTTTCTACATCATTTTCTTCCTTATCCGTAATACAATTTTCCACAATTTGATGTGGTATTTGGGGTTTTGTCATTAATGTTTTTTCTTTATCTCCAAGTTGTGTATGAGTTGAATTTTCCTCTCTGTGTTGTAAGGCTTCATTTTGATCTAAAGTGTATTCCTTGTTGTAGCTGTCAGTCTTGTGAGCATCTAAAAGTTGTGTTTGATTCCTCGGGGACAAAGAAAACTGATTTAGCTCGCTGGTCTTTGATACATTCTGCCCCATGTGCTCAGTGGACTCCGTTGTCCGTTGGTCAGTAGCCCCCGTGGAATGCTGGAATGGTAAAACATCACTTCCTGTATTTTCCCAAGTAGTTGGTAAATAACTAAGCACTTTTGATTCAAGCTGAGTTGCACCTTCCATTTGTTCAGTTGAGAATTGAGAATGTGAGTGCCTGTGCTCAGCATCAGTGGGTGTAGGCTGAGGCAATGTTGATGTGTTTCCATCAGGAATGTGGCCAGCTGAATAACAGTTGCTTTCTATAGAGCTCTGGTTGACTACAGACAAGTTGTTAGCACTGAGCAGCGGGGCACGTTTAGTGTTTCGTTGGTAATATGGGGTCTGCTTTGAGGCATGTTTCAGAGGCAGCCGCTTTGAAGTGAGTCTAACATAGTTGCTACTCTCTGACTGTTGAAGAAAATCTGCAGAAGACACAGTATTTATTTTGGCTTTTGTCTCAGAAGTTTTGGATAATTTCTTAGGAGGCAACAATACTTGCTTGCATTGCTTTGGGAGACCTGACAAGGATTTTTCTGGATGGACTCTGACTTTTCTAAAAGGATGTAAATTTAATTTTATCTTTAAGTTTCGTCCTTTAATCTTCCCTTTGAGGTCAGACTGAAGGGTTCTCTTCCTTCTCAGAACCCGTGAATTAGGAAACCATTTTTCTCCTTTGTTTCTCTCCCCAGGGTTGCTACAGTTTTTGACACCCAACTTAGTCAGCTGGTTACTTTGATTTTTCTGTTGTTTCCAAGGGGTTGATGTTTTGGGTGACATTATTGACCTATTTATTTCTACTAAATCAGGATCATGGACACTAACCCTCTTTGGGGAATATGCTTTCTTGATTTTTGTTGATAATCCTGATAAATCTATGTTGTCCTCACTCATAAGAAATTTTTCTATTGCGCTGTTAATTTGGATTTGCTCTTTCTCAGGCTTTGAGTGTTGTCTACGATTTGGCTTTTCTTTCATGTAATCTTCAAATTGATCACAGGGCACATATTTACAGATAAGAGAATTGTTTGGCTGAAAATGTCTAGGTCTGCTCTGTTTTAACAGTCCACAAGGATCATAATATTTTGATCTATGTTTTCGTACGATCTTTTGTACATAGTGTTCCTCAGGCTCACAAGGCTTGGATGATGAGCTTGCAATAAAATGTCTCTGCCTATGAGGTTGTAAGCCATTGTCTTCTTTTTCTATTGGAGGCTGCCATGATTCATTTGTTAAATGCTTCTCAAGACTTTCTCCTGCCAAGGCTGAAGCGGGTATTGCATATCTTCTTCTAAATGTGTCACTGCTGATATCTGTGGAACAATAAATGCAAGAATTTAGCACTTAGCAGAGTTTTATTACCCCAACCAAACAGATACTTAGAAAGCTTGTGAGAAGTATAAAACTGACTTCTCTGATAATTGCAATTCTTGAATATTTCCTAATTTTTAACCAAACCTTCAAAGGACATTTGTCAGTTCCATATGTTTTGAATGACACTCTTTATGGTCACACTGCAGTCAGTTGTGATGCTGACTTAAAAGTTGTGGAGTTGGAAATATAAATGTTATTTATGGTCATATATCTTTAGTTGTTGGTTAGGTTAGCTTTAAATGTGAATAATATCTAAATCCTTTTTAAGTGGCTATAGTAATTTTTTCCTGAATTTATTTCCCATTTGCAACTTAAATATTGGGCAAAATATGGGTGCAATATTGAGTAAGATTCAGGTTTCAGATAATAACCTGAACAACGAAAGGGAAATACTTGCAATACTGTTGACTCAATGAAAGCAGAGATCATATCTGTTTTATTTCCCATAACTTAATAAAGTGTTCATTAAATATTTGTTAAATAAATAGTTATTTTAAAATATAGCCCGGTTTGTGTGGCAGCGGTCTTTGCCTGGGACTTTTAAAATGGTACAGATTAATATAATATTTAATCTTATTAATCTTATAACTTATTCTACTAGTTTCTTTTAAATGTCTGCCTACAAATTCCTCTTAATGTTACAATCTTTCATTCACTGAAAGAAAACAGTACATGATGAACTGTTCAAAAAGGAAGCTTCCTTTTACTGTTCCGAGATAGACATCTCTACAGCCCTATAGGCACATATAGAAGAAGGAAACTTGTACTGGCTTCTCCTTAATGTCTGCCTATAATCTCCTTTTACATGTTAAATAATATTAATGACAAAAATAATAGTAATACCATTAATAGAGCACATGCTAAGAGCTAGGCATTGTGCTCATATTGTACATTCATCATCTCTTTTAATATTCACAAGAGACGTGATCCATTAGACATATCCTACTGTCTTATAACTTTTACAGATGAAGGAATGAACTTTAAAGAAATTGAATGCTTTCCCCTAGTCCCCATGCTTGGGGAATGACTTCCCCAAGTCTATCTGACATTAAACGACCCTATTAACTACAATGCATCTAAATTTTAAAATTATTTATTAGATACTTTCTATTGTTTCATGAAATTTTTTCATCCAGAGGAAGAAGTTTTTTATTCCATGATAAAAAAGGAAATCTTAACTGCAAAACATCTTAACTGCAAAACATCTTAACTGCAAAATATCTTAACAGCACTATTGCTATTTAAAAGGCTTTTTTTCTTTTTCGTTTTTAACATTGTTAGGTGTTAGGCCTCAAAATTAACTTTTAGTAGACAGGAGATGTACTCTCAACTCCTAAGGGTGGGGACACTCCATCTCCACTTTTCCCCAAGAGGTGAACTAAGTCCCAGACTAGCATCTAATTCCAATCTAAGATCTGCCGTCAACATTCTAGGTGACCTTGGAGAAGCTACTTGCTCTCTGTGTATTAGAAGGTTGGACTAGATGGGAGCTTTATGTAAGTATACAAATTATGCTGGGGAAAGAATCTGTAGCCTTTGTCAGAGTCTCAGAGAGTTCTGTGACTCAGAGGTAAACATTAAGAACTATTAGTCTAGATCTAAAGTCCCCTCTACCCTGGAAAGTCCATTATTCTTTTTCTAAGTCAGAAGGCATAATCAGGGTGGCAATTTTTTCTTTACTAATTTCTGTTCTGGAGCAGATATGACCTTGGCTGTTTTCTCCTCATATACCTACCCTCTCTAGTTCTGGTACAATGCCTGGCATGGAGCAGCATTTCAGGTATTTCTTACAAATATTCATGCTAATCTGACAAAACAGTGTTCTCAGTGTGAAAACAACATACTGGGTTTTAAATGGTTAAGAGACCATACCCCTTTAGTTATAAGAGTTTCTCACAGAGAAGTTCAGGCATTGGACAAAGTTAAAAGATGAAATGAAACATCTGCCTAAGGTATGATTCTAGTGAAAGGGTAAGTGCTTATTTTTTTGTAAAATAAAGTCAATCTGACCCAGTTTCTATGGCGTATGTTTCTTTCCTCAGCCATCCCTGTCTTGTGTGAAATCATCAACCCCCAGACGCTGTTAAGAACTGGAGTGTGGGAAGGCAATGGAATAAACTCACATCCTACCTTATAACATATTTGAAATAACATATGGCTTTATTCTTGTCCAGTCACCCCAAAATGCATCCTTAGGGCCAGACCCCTGTGGTAAGAATTTCTTGATACAGCACCTCTGTCATTCATATTCTTAGAGAAAGCTCTGCTTGTTGTAAACCAATTCAAATAAATGACAGGAACCTCTTTACAGAGCAGCTGTCAACATTTTCACTGCTGAGCCTGAATGCATAGCCTTACTATTCAGAAAGAAAAAGGAAGACGTTTAATTCATTGCCTCCACCTAAATATTGACATCGCCCATGTACAGTGGGTAGATGTCACGGCCAGATTCACTTGGCTCCCAGCATGGGACGATGAATTAAGTCCTGACTTTGCCTGGACTGGGAAGTTATCATCCCTGACAGCTCAGCAAGCAAAGTATGTTTCTTGACATCATTCCTGAAATGAATCACTAGCATTAGAGGGCCCATTCTTCTAACATGTCATGCTCTGGGAAGGTTGCTTACTGCAGAATTGGCATTAGAGCACGAAGGATGTTGGAATAAAAGCTGATATTAGCCATCCCATAGATCTTAACAGCACTCTTGCTATTTAAAAGGCTACTTTTTTCTTTTTTTAACATTGTTAGGTGTTGGGCCTCAAAATTTACTTTTAGCAGTCAGGAGATGCAATCTCAGCTCCTAAAAGTAAGAACACTTCATCTCCATCTCAGCCTAAACACACACACATACACACATGCGCGCACGCACGCGCGCACACACACACACACACACACAATATTTTTAGAAAAGGAATAGACTAGTGCTACAGTGATTTTTATAGCATTTCCTATTGAGGAAATTAAAGGAGGGAGGCTCCCTCCTTCAAAAAGCATTAAACGGAGTGGGATTTTCTAAAACAAGACAAACTCACCTTCTGTTCTTATTATATGGTGTGGCAGAGTTTGAGGCAGGACTTCTTCAGACTCAAGATTCCTTAGCTTTTGAACTTTCCTTGAATTATATGTTGTAAGTAAGCCTGCTTCATTAAAAGCTGTCATATTTCCAGGAGACTGTGAACACCTTGAATGCAGCAATCTACCATCCTGGCAAAATAAAGTGCTGCCTACCCCATGGTCTTTCTTTTTCAGGTTTCTAAATGATCCATCAAAGGTTGTGGACTCAGAGGCCGATGTTGCTTGATGACTATTTTCCTGTAAAAGTGGCATTTCCTTTCTGGACCCCACAATGGACATGATCTTTATCTCGTTTTCCTGGGTTAAGTGGCAGTTACAGTATCCCTTAGTGTGGTAATTTCTTGCCCCGTGAGCACACGGGGGTTCGTTGAAGGTTCTGCAACAAAGGTTTTCTGATGTATGTTCATTTGCTTTGCCTTGTTGGAGTTTCCAGTTAAATACAACTAAACCTAGGCAAGTGAGACCAACAGCTCCTGTGACAAATAGAGAGACCATTAAAAGATAACATCTTGGGAAGAAACATATAAATCATCAAATGTGAAAACCACAAATATAAAGGTTAATGGCTTGAAAGATATCAGAATGGGTAGGAAGTCCTTCACCATTTGGAAAATATCAACTCAGACAGAGGCTACCATTGACATTGTTCTGCTTTCCAATTTGGATCTTTATACATATTAAAGATTATAAGAAACAACACCATCTGGAATCTCTTTGGTAGGAAAAAGGGCTGTTTCATGAACTGAAATTCATTTAAGATAAAACAGTCCCTGCAGTAACATTTTTTCTGTCTATGGCACCTCCTTTTACGAACTCTCATAATAGAATCAATGACATCTCATCTACGACTGCCTGGTACTGTCATTTCATGTTCTATGTAGTTTTTCCTCTGAATAAAATTGCAAGATCCAGTATTTCTCGAACCCAGATGCCGACTCTAATCTGTTTCTATTTCACTTTTTCCTATCTTGACAAATGGCATCCTCAACTACCTAAACGTTCAAACCAATGTCCCTGAATCATACCCTCATTATCTATCACAGTGATTTCCCTTGTTTCTTCACACTTATGAAGTGTATTATTGTGTTTATTCATTCATTTGCTTGTTCACAGACTGTCCTCCTCTGCTACAATTAAGCACTGTGAGGCAACACATCCTTTTAGTCCTGTTCAACATTCTATCCCCAGTGTCCACAACTCTGAGACAAAGGAAGCAGAAATATTTATTACATATTCTTAAATCAACAGAAGGGATTCTGTTTATGAATTCTGATAATGAAATCATTGGCAATCTAATCTTATAAATCCTCAAGATGTGATTAGGAAGACATGGTGTCAGTACAGATTGAGTAAAGAGATCTGTGTCCTAAACCCACATCTGCCTGAGGACGGTGCCCTTTTCTGGAAATGAAGACAACATTCCAGATTGTTTGACTGGCTACGCTATGCCTAGTTTTATCCCCTGGAGACTATATTAATGAAAACATATTTTTAAAACTTAAATAAAAAGAGAAGGTATCAGGTCATGATTGTTTCTTTTTTGTGTGTGTGTTAATCATGAAGAACACAGAGAATAGCAGTTTCTGGTAAAACCCTCAAACCATTGTATAGTTTACCGTATCTTAAGCTCTTAAATCTATTTTAATTCATTTGCCAACAATACACTCTTGGAAAGTGCTATTAACATATTGAAGCAATCTAAGGTACATTTTTAAAAGTTGTAGCAAAATTACGTAAATAATATCCTTTCATTGACAGATTCTAGAGTTTGAATTATCCCAAGCAATGATTTTGGTTTTAACATGTTAAAGAACATACTAAAAATTTAAAAACTGGCACCACTCCTTAACTTATATGGGTAAGAAAACTCAAGATTCAAAGCTATGTTCTGACACTTTTCTTGGTATTTTCTAATTTCTCTAACACTTATTTTTTCTCCTTTCACAAATAAGGATAACTGATACTATCCAGGGATTGAATAATATATGTGACATGTTTAACACAGTGCTTTGATATAGTAGATTTCAATGAGCGTTCATTGCAATTTATGATTATGATTATGATTACTGAGCTACCATTGTTTAGGTTTTCCATTGCTCTATTGGTTCCTGAAAGACTCACCTATCAGGAAAAAAAATCCAAAAATAAATCATTAGGATGATATTTTATATGACTGGTGCAGTTAGTGGGCCAAATAATGAAGGAACAAAAGGGCTAAGTGTTCTTGAAGACAAGAATCAGCCACTGAAATGAGAGTAAACATAATCTGATTATAGGATACAGTTTCTCCTCTAATTGTGTCTGAATGGCAGGGACTCACTCACTCCCCTGCTGTTGATGCTAGGTATATATCTGTATCCCATTACCAGTCAGGTATGGTCACTTTCCATTAGTGTAGAAAGCAAAAGCAGCAAATGAAGCTTGTAGGCAGGCGGAACGTGCTATTAAGAAGCTGTTTGAATTTTCTTTGCCATGGGCATTGTTTCTATTTTTAAAAAGTATTCTAACAATCTTTCTGAGTTGGCAAGAGAAAAAGGGAAAATTAATGATAAGTTCTTATTGAAACATTAGAAACACGTTACAGCTTCATAAAAACTTTTTATCTACCAGTTCATAGCATACGTGTCAAGATATTAGTGTTTGATGCCAAATAACCGTTTATTAGTTTTAAATTTACTGAATATAGCTATTTATATTCCTTTGAATTTTTATGACTTAGATATAGCTGAAGAAGAAAATGGACTCATAGGCAAAATTATAGTTCTAAGTGTTTTTCCCACAATCTAGAAGTATAGATAACTCGCCCCATGTGTACTTCAGAAAGAGTGGAATCTTAATGGAGCAAATTAACATTAAAAATCAGAGTCTTTTTAAAGAAGAATCTCTTCTCAAAGCACTATAATTTAAAAATTATTTGATGAAAGATATATTAGCATGATAATTTCACACACCAAAACCTAACATATATGTAATCATATTTATAATTTATCAGAATTTATTCACGTATATTAAGCTCCCTCTCACTTTGACAAAACCTTTGTAATCTCCTAGAATTTGTATTCGTCTCAATACAAAAAAAGAACCGTTAATGTAGCTAAATATATTTCTGAATATATGTTTCTGAAAACAGGTGTAAAAGGTAACTAGAAGATATTAAAAATTGCTCTATTATAATATTTCCAAAGTGATGTCCTCTGGAACACAAATTCAATGAAATCCTCTATGAAAAAAAGGGATCATGGCCAAATAAGTTCAAGAAATGCTCCATTTCACACCTTCCTCTTAGAAATGTATAGTGCTCATTAGAAAATGAAAGGTTACGAGAAGTACTGCAGTGAGTACACCTGTTTCTCTTTGCTTAACTTAGTACCTTTTAAACCTATTTGAACCCCACCATCTATTGCCTATATGTGCATCTGTGTGTTTTTATTGGAATATCTATTAATTATCCACCAGTGCTAGTGTTCTAAGAAGCACATTTAAGGGAAACCTGTCTGCTGCCCTATCACTTATGTCTTTTATGGCAAATTACTTCTTAGTACATACAATTACTGACATAGTTACATGGTTTTTAAAAGAATTTATCTTCCTAACATTTGAATTTCCTTCCGAGTGAATTTGATTACTGCTGATGGTAGTTCCATTGTCTATACCTGATGCTGGTCTCCATCTATCCTGATTAAAACTGTAATTGTCAGGAAGTAAAAATACAATCAATCAATTCACTAGATAACTGTTATAGAATAATGACTTATAGCACATATTTAAAATACGTCAGTCTTGGATGCCATTTGTTTGTCTCTGGTCTCTCTCTCTTTCTCTCCCTGCCCCCTCATCACCATGGTTACCCACAGGTGCAGAGGATTTCACCATGCACTGAGAGCATAGGGGACAACACACAGATTGAGCTAGATAACTTAAGAAATCTCATGCATCTTTGGTCTTCAACTAATGACACTAAGTGCCATTTTATGTTATTCATCCAGTGAGATGCAATGATAGCTGACGCATAGTTTAATAAATTTTAAATTACAAAAAATATATAAAGAATTGCATATTCTCCTCCCCTTAGTTGGTCTGGGGAAGTATGGGCTAAGTTTACATAGAGTTGGACAAATAGAAATTTTAGAAGCATTCAAATCCCCCCAACAGGAGGAAAACCAAGGCACAGAGAAGTTACATAATGTGTTCAAAGTCACACAGCCAATAGCAGAGCCAGAATTCAAACCTAGGTAATCCAACTACACAACTCATTTATTTAACTACTGTGCCATATAAACACTGCAGACTGAGATATATGTGATTGCCATAGTAGCATCCTTTTGTGCCTCTGTGAAAGTCCGCTGACTCCTACTATGTGCCATGGAGAAGCACACAAATGTAAGTGCCTTGCAGAAAGAGTCTATGTCCCATCAGTTTTTAAATATCTATCACCTAGTGTCATAACAAATGCACCAGTACTCTTTGGTGAAAGGATGATTGATGAAATGTAAATGTTATTCTTGTATTACACACAAGGAAATTAAAGTCTAAATAGCAAGTTAACCTGTTCAAGATCACAGCGCTAGTTATACCAGGACTGGAGCTCTTGAATTCTGGTCCAGGGCCCTTTCCTCTATTTTAGACAGCTTCCTTGAAACAGGAAATTCTTGCAACTTGTGCTAAATCAGCTAATATCCTCCCCCATCTACTGGCAACCTCTCCTTTCCATGGCCTTGGCAAATTTCCCAAAGTGTCTGAGATAAGCATCACTTAGCATGCTGCAAAAATATGGACAAGTGAAGAGAAAAGAGGAGGGCACACTTCTCCCCGGCATACCTGCAAAGCCAAGGACAGTCAGCAGGGCCACATCTTGTCCCGGGAGGAGGGGACTTCTGTCCTTTAGAACCAGAGTGAAGTTGGGAGCTTTGGAATCACAGTTGGTCTCAGACAGCCTCAGCACACTCTGTGCAGCTGCCACAGCTGCGGTAGATGGCTGACAATTTAGGTCCTTGGCATTCCTAAGCGTGTGAGCAGAAGACTTAATGTAGTTTCTTAAAAACCGAGCAAGGGGATGGAGATCACAAGTGCAGCTCCACTGGTTCTTATCTAAGCTCAGATGGATTAACTGCTTCAGTGGAGTAAAAACATCCGGCATGTGGGCTAACCTATTTCGCGAAAGGTCCACTTCCTGTAGTTGAGGCAGGGGCCGGAAGGCATCTTTCCCAATGTAGGAAATAAAATTGTTGGATAAATCCAGATGCCTGAGACTGTGGAGATTCGTGCCTCCAAAAGAACTGTCTGTGAGATTAGTGATCTGATTCCCATCCAGCTGGAGCCGGGTCAGGCCCCTTGTGTTTCGGAACCAAGACCCTCGTAGGGTGCGGAGAGCATTATTGCTCAGCACCAGCACCTGCAGGCTGTGAAGCTTGCTGAAGGTGTGATCAGTGAGCGAAGAGCTGGATATTTGGTTGTGCTCCAGCAACAAAGTCCGCAACATCGTAAGGCCATCTAGGGCATCTTCCTGAACATCCTTGATACCATTTCTGCTCAGAGACAGCAGGGCAAGATTAAACAAGAGAGACAGGTTGGTGCTTTCAATAGAGGACAGATATCCATCAGTGATGATTAAAACCCTCGTGGTCATAGGGGCTGCTGTGGGCAAAAAAGCACACACTAGATGCAGGATACACATGAGTGGGAGGGTGGGGGTATGGTGGAGAGCAGAGAATCAATATCCTCTAAGCAATCTTATCACCTGGGTAAAAACAGTAAACAGTACACAACATGAAAATGATTTTCTGATTTCTAAATTTAAGGGGAAGCTGGCTATATATCAAAATGATGGATTTTTATATTCTTTGCTACTGTGACATGTTTGTTTGAGAAACATAACCCCATCTGTTACTTTAGATGTCAAAGTTAATTCATTGTTTCAGATTATCTTCATGGATGTTATTTTGAAGGTGTCTTTTCAGGCCCTCCCTCCAAGGCTGTGTACCGACCTGATCTAGCCCTGCAGATCCAGTACAGAGTCAACTAAGAACTGAGCCTGTGTCTGATCCCCCTAGTCAGTGTTCTATAGCAATTTATATTTATGCTGTGAAGTCAATCATCTTTTCTCCCAAACATAAAGGTGCGTGTTGGGGTGGGGAGAGTGAGAAGGAGCATTGGTTTCTGCTTTTTAGCCCCAGGCTAAAAGCTGGTAACTTGGTAAGGATATATATTCACTCCAGACAACCCAAGTGTCTGTCAGTGGGGTTCTCATTATAGTCTGGGCCATCTTGGCCTCCTGTCTAATATCTGTTCCCTCCAATGAAGTCCATCATGTGATGACAGGTGGTACTCAGGGCTTCCAACTGTTAAATCCCTTCACCATAATCACCTCAGAGCTATCACTGCTCTGTCATTAGAAATCAAAGCATTTTAACTCAATAAAGATGTATTATAATCAGGAGTTATTGTAACACATCTTTATCATGCTAAAATTGTTTTGACTGCAAATGACAGTGTCATAAGGATAGAGGAGTCCATTGTCACTGGGAGGTCTGCAGGTGATATTAGAACAGTCAACCACAGGGAAACAAATCACAAATCCCTTAGGAAATTCAGACTGCATCGCGGAAACAAAGAGATTAAAGAATATGTAAAAGACAAAAGATTCTCAGAGTGCCTTCTTTTGAAAGAATTGTTCTCATCCCTGCAGCACAAGCAAGCTTAAATCCTGGTAATTTTTTCAGCATTTATGATTGATTATTTGAATGCTATTCATTCTGGCCAGTTCGGCATTTTGTTCCTCTCGTCATTGTTTTTGATACGGGATGAAGGAGGTTTGTTTTCATGGGTTCTCAGTCCTTTAGGGATTTGCTGACTCTGAATGAGCAGGCTATTATTTCTATCAATTACTTCTTGTCTAGGTCTAGAAAAGAAACCCAACTACCAATTCATCCATTTTATTCTCTGTACTTATGAAATCTAACTTCACAAATGTCGTGTTCTGTAAATGAGAAGGAGGATATAGAGGTGCAACAATGTAGATGAGAAATATTTGTTTCTTACAGACATCAACTAACTCTGATCAGGAAAAATAAATGTAGTGAAGTCAAGAAATCCATTTTAGATGGTGAGAGTTTAGTGTTAAAGCATTTTCAATACTGATTAGAAACAATATACACGTCAACTATCCTTGAAACCTTCTCTCTCCTGTCAAGGATGGTGACAACATCTACCTCCTAATTATCAGAGTCATGGAATTTTAGAAATGGAAGAAATTATCCTCTTCCACTCTGTCGTAACTCAAGCTTGTTTATGGAAATTTTCCATTGGCAGAGCTTATAGCTTGTTTATCTCTTCTTGGATATCAGGATGTAAATCACATTCTCCTCAAATTTGTTAATAAGGTGTCTTATTAAATTGTTGACTTAAGCAAGCAATATGTAATGAATACAGGCAGTGTATCTTGTTAGCATTTCTACAGCTCATTTACCACCAATAAAAAAAGACCAGACTTTCAAAATGAGACGCACTTTGATAATAATCTGTTTCATTGGTACATCACTTAATCTTACTAATGCTGAACGATTCCAGTTCAGGTTTCTGATTCATTTATATTTCTTCCAGCTGGTGGTAGGGTCCAAATCTGCACAAAGTATGTACAAAAATATAATTAAAGTGATGTATTTGTTAAGTGTGTAGCTGGATAAAATGGTGATATTCTTTTGCAATAGCAAAATATCTCAATTACTTCTGAAGGTCTTTAAATAGTTTTGATTGAGACCATCAGGAACAGGAAAACAAAATATTACCAGTCTCTTTAGTCATTGTTTGAAGCTTACTCATTAAAGGGTTACCTCTTTTAAGCTGAGCCCAGAGAACTGTCAGTACAATGAAAGGTACGGCAACCAATTTTCCAGGTACACTGAGCACTGCTTTGTAGAGTTATTAGTTTTATTACCTACTATATAGGTTAGCTGGTGACAGAGGGTTACATCTTTGGTGCACACCACACATGACTCAGGGCAAGCTGCCACCAACTGCAACATGATGGCGAAGAGTACCAGCCATCCACCTGAAAGGAAAGTAGACGGCAATGTATATCATAATGTTGGCATTTACTGTGCATTATTTTAGTACATACAGCTCATGAGGCATTTTGGTAATTTCTACTGTTCAATAAGCATCTTGGTGTTCTCTTAAGATGCCAGGTAAATAACTACATTCCTTAATTTGCATAGAATTTAAACCAAAATGTTAACGCATTTGACTATAAATTCAGAGAGCTCACATCCACGGCATATTTATTAGTATTTTGAAAAAATTAAGTTACTTTGCAAAACAACATATAGTTTGTAGTGCTTTCACCAAACATTATCTTACTTAGTTCTCTTAATTCTGCAGCCCAATTAGAGACTAAAGAAACAGCTCAGGATTGTTAGTAAACCATCGTAAATCACATAGCGGGTAGTTTTTTAACCAAGTCTTTTAACTTTCAATCCAGTGTTTCCTCTAGTATGCAAAGCTCATCTCAGGCACTGAGTTTTACATGATTACAACTAAATTCTTACTCCTTATAGATTTAAATGCCACACCTAGGGAGTGAGTATGAAGTCAAGATTAAACTCACAAGCTCTACTTAGCTTTGAATTCAGCTCTGTTTGTAGTGACTATATTATCTTAGAAAAAAAGTCTCTTTGTTTTTTGCGTAAAATAGAAATAATAATAAATTCCTACAGTACAGAGTATTATATGAGTTAAATGGGTACTCTAAGTGTTTACTAAATGTTAAATTTTACCATTATTTTTAAGCTTTTTCAACTCCCCAGAGAAATATTTAACATCACTTGAATTTTATGTTCAAAAAAGACAATTCATTTATAATGCCTTCACTGGTTGATTAAAAAAAAAAAGGAGCAAATTATAATAAAACCCTCTACCTATATTATAAGATAGTTTGAGAACAAAATAAAATGTTGAAAAAGACATAAAATGATTAATTCTATTATTTATTCAACAAGCATTTGTAGATCACCTTCTGCATGCTAGGCACTCTCAGAGTACTGGGCATAGAGCAGGGGCTGAGAAGCCCCTGCCCTTAGGAAGTGTACTTCCTATAAAAGGACATAAATAATAAACAAATAATATAAAATATGTATTCAGTCATGTGGTGATAAGTGCTATAGAATAAATAAAACAAAAAAGGAAGATCACATTTGCTCGAGGGCTCTAAATACAGCGAACAAGGAAAATCTCTCTGATAAAACAACATTTGAACAATAAGCTGGAGAAGGTGAAGGCATTAGTGTGTCATGGTGGAGAGAACCCAATGCAAAGTTCTGAGGGCATGAGGAAGTTGGTGTGGCCAGAGTGGAGTGTGTAAGAGGAAGAATAGGGCACAGAATCATACGAGCAGGTTGTTGTATACCTTAGAGATGAACACAAAGATGTAGGATTTTAACCCAAATAACATGGGAGATAATTGGAGGCTATAGTGAGTGGCATTACTTGGTCCGATGTACATTTTTAAATGATCATTTTAACTACTGGGTTGGGAACATACTATTAGATAAGCAAAGAACAGAAGTAGCAAAAATAGGAGACAATTGTAGTAATATAAGCAAGAGATGATGTGGTGTAGACCAGGATGAGACAGATAAGCATATTCCAGATGATTTTTTAAATCATAATGATGCAATTTAATTTAACAAATTTGAGCTCATTTAACCTCTCTGATGGAATGTGCTAGGTGTCTAAGAGTAAATAAACCATTGCATCAAAGCACTTTCTAGCTAGTAATAGACATGTAAATACTTATCTATAACACAAGGAGAAATTAAGTAAATCTAGATGAAAGTGAATAATTGTGCTGTGGAATAATGTGGATGCTTTAAGAAGGATGTAGCTTGTGAACTGGGCTTTGCAGAATGCAGTGAATTTCCATGGGCAGAGAATAAGCATTAGATAATTCCAGTCTGAGAAAACAGTAAGAACAATGCCCTGCATGGGGCAACAGATTTAATCTCAGTTCATTTATTTTAGCCCTACCTGACTGGTTAGTGTGCCTCATGCATGTGTGGTTCAGGGGCCAACCAGAGATTTAGGTATAATTTACACACAGATTCCAGGGCTTTTTCCAGGATCTCCTCTCATTTTCTACTGCCTATTTGTAATAAGCAGGATTCTAAGATGGCCTGTAAGATTCCTTTCCCCTGGTGTACATGCCATGTAGCATACCCTCCCCTTCAGTGTGGGCAGAACCTGTGAATATGATGAGATATTACTCCCATGATTATGCTTCATCATATAACCAAAGGAAGATTATCCCAAGTGGGTCTGACCTAATTGGGTGAGCCCTTCAAAAGCAGAATACGTTTTACAACTGGTCACAGAGTAGGAAGTCAAGCATGTGCCCTTGCCAGTCAGGAAAAAAGCAAACAGCCATGTTGTGAACTGCCTATGTGGCAAGCAGCTGTAGGCATCCTCTAGAATTTGAGAGTCATTTCTGGGGAACAGATGGCAAGAAAACAGACATGTGTCATACAACCACAAAGAAATGAGTTCTGCCAACAACCGATGAGCTTAAAAGAGGCCTTGAGTGTCAGATGAGAATCACAGTTCCTGCTGACTCCCTGATTTCAGCCTAGTGAATCTCTGAGCAAAGAACCCGGCTAATCTATACTGTACTCCTTACCGATGGAAACAGATAATAAATGAACATTGTTTTAAATCACTAGGTTTATGGTAATTTGTTACAAAACAATAAATAATACACTCCAGTTGCCCTTAATTCTGTCCTCTGGTCCTTCAAACAAGCAAACCATCAGAATTTTAACTGTTTCCTAAAATGCAGAAGTGGTCTACCCTCAGGCTAAATGTGAGAGAGAGAGAGAGAGAGAGAGAGAGAGAGAGAGGTGGGAAACATACTAGTTCCTTTCTTCTAAGTGACTCACTCTCCTCCAGGATCTACTTGCTTTTATTAACTTTCCAGTGCCTTCAGGTAGCTGTCGTTTACATTTTGTCCAGAGTTTCTAGTTGTTTTCTGTAGGAGGGTTGATCTAATATAAGTTACTTGATCATTCAGATTCTGACTGGTAAGATCAATATAATTTGCTGGTATATTAGAGGCAAGAACGATAAAGAGAGTAGTCAAAGGTCATCACTTTTTGTTGTTGTTGCCTCTGCAAGTAGAAGGATGGAGTTTCCACTTACTGAAATGGGAAAAGCTATAGATATAATTAATTGCATGTATGAGTTTAGAGTTCAGGAGAAAGTACTGGGCTAGAGATAGAAATCTGGGAGTTGTTTTTTAAAAGGCATGAGGCTGAAGTAGCTCCTCAACAAATTAATTCTAAAGAGTAAAGAGACTCAAAGACTGAGTCTTGGGGTGATGAAAAGCTTAAAGATAAGAAAGAGAGATGAAACCAAAAAGGGAGGCTAAGAAGAAGCCAATGAGCACAGAAAAAAAATAAGAAAATGGTGTCCTCAAAGCCAGTTGAAAAACGTGTTTCAGGGACAAAGGAATTGTTGCTTGTACTCAATGCTATGCCAAGTGAGATGACCACTGAGATGTAACCATTGAATTTATCAACGAGGAGATCTTTGTAACCTTGGCAAAGGCAGTTTCAGCAGTGTTGTAGGAGAAAGCTTGATTAGGATGGATTGCAAATGGGAGAAGGGGAATTAGAGACCACAAATTTAGATAACTCTAGAACATTTTTGCTGTAAAGGTAAACAGCAATGAAACAGTAGCTTGAAGAAGAGAGGTTATGGGTTTTATTTTGCTGTTTGCTTTTAAGATAGGAGAATGTATAGTATGTCTGTATGCTGGTGGAGATTAAACAATAAAAAAGGAACATGAACGATGCAAAAAAAAAAAAACAGATGAGAGAATTATTGCGGAGCACACAAGTGAAAGAGTTGGCCTCAGAATTAGGCGAAGTTCATCCATAGAAACAAAAGTGAGGTCAAATTATGTAGGTCATAGGTGAGTAGGTCAATGTAGTAGTGGGAGCTAGAGGTTTGAGGAAAGAGAAGGTACAAAATAGTCATCTGGAGTATGAGAGAGTTAATGGGCTAGAAATATGTAATAGGCTCTCTGAGCAGTACTGACGGTCTATGGGAGGTTAGAGGGTCAAGATTTTGAAATGAGACAGGCAGAATTGATTCAATAAAGGCTAGGATTCTTTCAGTAGTGTACAAAATGCAAGATGAAGCCAAAGAGTTGAGGATGTGTGGAAGGGAGTGATAGTTGGAAGTGAATCTAATGATAAATGTTGATGAAATGTAAGATAAGTAAAGGGAAAGTGAGTGACAGTGAAAAGATGATGAAATGAGCAAAACAACAAGTAAGGAAAAAGATCGACAGATGGGTAGGTAGGTAGATAGAAGAGTATCTACTTTAGGACATATTTGGAAATGCTCGTAATATAAAGCTCTTGTTTTGTTTTGTTTTGTTTTAAGTGGTAAAATGGCTTGCAATTACCAGTGTGATCCAAGATTGTTGGAGTCGGGTTTCTAGAAAAAGTGAGCTAGAAAGAAAGACAACTCAGAGAGTTGTCTGATAAAGATTGAGAGGTTAAAGAGCATGGAGGGGTGCAGGCATTGGTCATGACAGGGTCTAGGGTATAACTAAGGGGCTGAGTGACTAAAGGAGTTTGGAGAACAAGCTCATTGGAGAAGAGTAGACAAAGGAACCCAGAGGTCAGGCTATTTTAATGATCATTTGCATGGATAATAAAAGTACAAAGAGTAGTGATAGAGAATATGAAGTCAGCCAGTTTTTTAAATCCTCAAAGAATGAGGGGGTGTAGCTAGACTCTGGTGGTATATCCTGACAAGCTGGTCATGTAGCCTGACAAGCTGGTGGTGTTTAGAAGAGAAACCATTTGGAAGTAGCAGTGACAGCAAGGAAGACACAGGATTTTGTTCACCCTACTGCTCCCACTGCTCCCACTGCCCCCACCAACCTAGAGATACAAGGAGTATGTGAGAGGAAACAGCTTATAACGGAAGCAATGTTCTCAGGGGTGGGCTAGATAGTAAGGGAGAAATTGTTCTACTAAGAATCTAAAT